GACAAGCTACAGCCACGGGGTTCATGTTTATTCTAGTCAGGCGTCAAGTGCAATCGGAGGTTTTGCATGACGCGCGACTCGGCGATCTCGTGCGCCGAGTTTCTTGGCACGTTGCGCGATGCGCAAGGCGATGCATTGGCCATATGGACGGCTCCGCCTTCGCAATCGGCCGCGTAACTGCGCGTCGTCATGCCCACTCCCAGGGCACACGAGCCCGCTCAGATGCTTACGTGGCATTGTGCTGAAGTACACCGAATCAGAGCATCACCCGCGAAAAACGCTCTAATTGCCCCATAATTCACCCGTTGACGGAAACATTCAACACCCCCTCCTCCCCTCTGCGACTGCTTGCCTCACACTTCATCCGCCCCCCACCCCCCCCCCCGCCGCCCCCCCGTCATGCATCCTACTCTCCTCTCCCTCCCCGACGACGTCTGGCTCGCTCTCTCCCCCCACCTCCATCCCTGCACCCTCTACAACCTGCTCCACGTTACGGCCTGTCTTCGCGCCCGCCTGCTCCCCCTGCTCCCGACCCTCCTGCGACCGCTAACCCCCAGCCTCCGCCACTCGGCCCTCCTCAGCTCCCTCGCGTCTCTCGACTACGCGCTGGTCAAGTTTCTCCTCCTCGCGCCCGGCCTGCCCCCCCTCCCCACGCCCGCCCAGCCCTTCTTCTTCCTCGTCTCCGACCCCACGCTCGGCTCCCAGCTCAACGCCCCCCTCGCCTACTTTCTCGTCGCCGAGTATCTGCGCTGCACCGGCTCCGTCGATGCCGTCCTGGACCTCGCGGCCACGCACGCAGACCCGCTAACCATTGCGGCGTTGTCATTGTCCACGCTCGCGTCGCCCGTGGCCACGCGCCGCCTCGCGCAACGGCTTACTCTTTCCGGGCGCGGGGCGCTCGTGCTGCGGCTGCTGGCGTGCGACGTGCGCGCGGCGTATGGATGTGCGCCAGCCGATGATTGCGCGTTCTGCGAGGGCGGGCACCACTTGCTGCATGCGGCCGCCACCGTGGGGGATGCGCGCCTGGTGCAAGGCGTGGTGCAGCTGATGGGCGACGACGTCGTCGAGGCGCTGATGATGAGGGACTGCAAGGGGGATACGCCGCTCGGCGTGGCCATTCGGAAACGGAAGAGCCGCGTGGCGCAGATGTTGGTGCGGGGCGGGGCGGAAGTGAAGGATCTTGTTGGGTGCGCGGGGAGAGGAGGCGGGGCGCTGGAGGCGAGGGAGATATGGTTCAAGCCGGTTGTTGATGTGGACTAGACTCACTGCGGCGTGGAGGTTAGTACCAAAGCTGCAAACTTAACTACAACTGAAATGAAAATGATTTATAAACAAAGAGGCGTTTACTTTTTCCTCACGGCTCCCTCTTCCTTTCGTGTCAACAGGTCCTCGAACATGGCGATGGTGTGCTGAGCGATGGTGAAGCTAAACACAAGCTTTGGTCCCACGATTAAGACCTTGGGAACCAATCCCTTGAACAGGGCTCCAACACCCTCGTTTCTCAGCAGCTGCTTCAAAATCTCGCCTCCGCTCACGCCGCTCCCAAAGTCCCTCGTCTGCAGGCGCGTCTTAATAACATCCAGCGGGCTCGCGACGGTAATGCTAGCCAAGCCGCCTACAGTCGACGCGACAAACGTCTGGCCAAACGTGGCGTCGTTGAAGTTGTCCAAGCCAAAGACTCTGCCCTTCACAAACGCCGACGCGCCGAAGAGCGCAAAGCTGCCCGGGGCGTTGCGCGCGGCCGTCCAGCCGGCGCCGCGGTACAGGCCCGCCAGGCGCTCCTCCCTCAAAATGGCGAGCAGGCCGCGGCCGCGCAGCGCGGCGGGGTTGTTCTGGCTCTTAATCTTGAGGACGTCGAGCGGGAGCAGGACGACCTCGCCCACGCCGACGACGGCGCCTGCGAGCGCGTGGAGCCACATCTTGCCCTTTCCCTCGCCCGCCCACGCGTCGACGCGGTGGCCGAAGCGGGCCGTCATGCCCTCCCGCACGAACGGCTGGCCGCCAAACTTGTACACGCGCTGCAGGATCTTGTACGCGGCGGCGAACGAGAGGCCCGGGAAGAGCGAGGTGTACTTGCGCAGCGGCGAGGCGTGCGCGTGGGCGTCGCGGAAGATCACGCGCGAGAAGCCGTCCAGCGCCATCGCTGAGGTCATCCCCGGCTGCCGTATCGGTGTGGCGTTGTTCATCAGGCGCTTCGCGATCGTGTCCACGGGGTGGAAGCCGAACAGCTCGACTACCCCCGCGAACGCGCTCCCGGACACGCGCGCCAAGCGTACCGCGGACGCGTCCGTCCGCGAGGAAGGGGACGGCGGCGGCGGCGGCGGCGGCGGCGACATGGCTGGGGGGGGGGGGGTGCACGGAGGGGGTAGCAGCGGGACGACGGGCGGGGGCGGTGGCTGGGGGCTCTGCTACTGCTATTGAGTACAGTACCGTTACAAGGGTACAGTGCGATAGTGTTGTGATCGGGTGCTAGACTAGGCTGTTGCTCACCTGCTCTTCTGCTCTGCTTGGCTCGAATGGCAGCCTCAACCTCCCAACCTCCCGAGACCGCCGCCGTGACGCCTCCCCATTCGCCGATCCTTCGCCATTACATCGCCTTACACCTCTCCCGACACCACATGCAACACGCCGCTTGTCTACTTCCCATTCGATGATCACCAAACACATTACACTCCTCTTACACCTCATCCACGGTCCCATTGATGCCATTGCCCTTCCTCGCCCATTGCCCTTCCTCGCCATTGCCCTTCCTCACCACCATCCCCCCAAGTCTCCATCCAATTCTCTAACCACGCTGCTCTCCTCCAACCCCCTCGCCATGTCACTCCCACATCTCCGCCGCCTCTTCTCCACGCTCCGCCGCTCGCCGCCGCCGCCCTCGACGCGCCGGGACCCGCGCGCCTACGCGCCCTCGGGCCCGTACGAAGTCGCGGGCGTCCCCACCCCGCGCTACCCCAAGCGCCGGTCCCCGCTGAAGCGCTCCACCGCCCTGATCTCGCTGCTGCACGAGGAGGAGATGCTGCGCCTGGTGCGCCAGGGCCGCGCCGTCTTCCCGACCAAGGTCCCGGACCCGTGCGCGGGCGACGTCATCCGCGTGTCCTACGCCCACTCGCTGGCCGACAACCGCCCGCCGCTCTTCTTCACCGGCATCTGCATCGCCGTGCGCCGCCGCGGCATCGCCAGTGCCTTCGTCCTCCGCAACGTCGTCGACGGCGTCCCGGTCGAGCGCGGCTTCCCCATGTACTCCCCCCTCATCAAGGACGCAGAGGTCATCGCTCACAAGAAGGTCCGCCGCGCAAAGCTCTACTACCTCAGGCACAAGCCCCTCAAGGAGAGCACCGTCCCCGACGCTACCCGCAGACCCAAGCCCGCCTGACCTTGCGCGACACCCCTCCCGTTCCATTTCACAAACAAACCGCACAATTTTTCAATAAACTCCCCCCCCCCCCTGAATTACCTCCCACACATAATCGCCCACACAGGGGCAATTTGA